ACAGTATTTAACAGGTTTTTCTTTTTTGGCCCCACTAAAAAAAAAGATAATTTTACTTAAACTATTAGTTTCTAGAAGTGAAGTTTAAAGAAAAACACAGCTCAAGGATTCTGATCTTCCACAATGTGGACATTTACAAGTATTCTGTTTAGCCCTTGGTATCTTTCCACAGTAAACATTGGTCTATTAGGGGCACAAATCAAAACTGAATTTGCTTATTGTGTGACTTGAATGCATTGGCCATAGACTACAAGGGGTTGTTTCAAAAGAGAAAAAAAAAAAAAAAACACAAAAAACAATGTCCCCAATTTATTCATCCTCTATCATCTCACAGAGAAAACACACCTCTGAAAGTCAAATTGTCCCTTCATAGGATGATAGATTTCTAAATGCTGAGTCCCTACTTTTCAGCAAAGTGGTAACTCTGATGAGTCAGTATTCACAACGTGGCATCTGGCAGAACAGTAATGTTAGGTAGACCAATGTTCTGTGTAAGCCATAAGATATGGCATATAAGATATTGCCTGATTATAGGCAAACACATTCAGATTCTGGGAAGCTCCTTTGGGTTTAATGATTGCATTTGAAATCTAAGGCCTTGGGGATACTACTAACTGTATGAGGACATAGCTCATCAGGGGAAAGTGAACAAACTTTGGAATATAAGGTGTCGAGCAAGTGCAGGACCAAGTGATACTTGGGCACACTCTGCATTTTGGTGCTGAATTTCCTTAAGCCTCAAGCTTCATATCTCACTTGTAATGTAGCGTATGAAGCGAATCTGTAAAGTCTTTGATACCTCAATATATCATTGTAGAATGTGCAACCCAGTGAAAAGCTCCTGTATATATGTGTGTGCTTTTTTTCCTATTGGAGTTGGATATATATCTGAAGTGACACAGACAACTGGATCTTCATGAATTCCCCACAGGCAACTGCATTACCGTTACTGAGCTCTTAATACGTGCCAGTATCATTTCAGATCCTCTGCTTGAATTATCCTATTTAATCCCCACAACAACTCTGAATGCATAGTTTTACTATTTTCATTTCAAAAATAAGGAATTGATTTGAGAGGTTAAATAATGTTGTCCAAGCTCTTACAGGCATGTGTGGTCATGGGTATCTCTAGAACACAAGCCCAAGCCTTTTTGATTCCCAAATCTGTGGGTTCTTAATCACTTTGGTAGTGTGAATTTCCTAACTCCAACATGGCCTCAATGTCTTTTTTCAGAGACCTCACTTCATTTGTGCAATTTTTGTTCTTTTCCTGAGCTTAGTATCACCACAGAAACATGTTATTCCCAGAGAGATCAGACTCTAAACTGGTCTTTGTGTCAACAGTACACTAGCAGGGCTCAAGGAAGAACACTTCAGCTGGTGGGATATGTGGAGGAGAACATAAATACAACCTGAAAAACAAATCACATCAGATCTCTCTGCCTGTAAATGACAAGTAGTATGTGATGAACTGTCTAGAAGAGATTAATGTGTGTATAGCTAGCACTGTCTCCATGGGAAAATGTAGATCTACTACGAAATAGCATGAATGGCATTAACACCTGTCAAATGGAGTTTGCATTTTCTGTGAGAGCATGGACCACTATACACTTGCTCAACTGTATATTCCTCATGGGATGGCAGCCAAGATTACCCATGAGCAGGATAGTTTACTGCCAATGCTTGGTCTGGATCAATGAAAATTAGCACATTGCCAGGGAAGGTAGGAGGAAGAATGTCTAGCTCTCAGATTGAGACTGGGTATCAAGGATAGTTGAGATGTTCTTAAAATACTAAAGAATGTAATAGCCTCCCTGCTGGAAGAAGACTTTAAATGAATATGGATAATATACAGGAATAAAGATTGCATAGTTGTTCAGGTAATTTTCTGTTAGAATTCATGCACATCTAATCAGAAGTAAAATTATGAATCATGCACAGCTTATCTAATGTTCTTCATGGATATTTTGTTTTCAATAATGATTTTTCCTCTTATGACTTTTTAATTTTTTGAATTTTAGAATTCACCATTATACTTTGACTCCAGAAATTTGTCCTCTCCAGACAGTAGGGTCTCATTTCTTTTCTTCAAGACTTCTCTTGTCAAGTGACTGATTCAGAGTTGGTCTACTTGCAGCTAATATACAACAAATGAAGCTTATTATGGCTAAGAAGGTTATACAGCTCCAAATAATAAAATGTTTACCTTTTAATTTGTGCTCACATCTTAGCAGTGAATGTTGTAAGACTCTCTTTTTCCTTAGTAGAATTCAGCAACAGAGAGAGCTTTGTGAAAGAGCTATGTTCTACAGACGTTGGATCAAAACATTCACTGTTTCCACGCTGCCAATCCACAGTGCCATACTACTCGGCTATCTGCATCTGGTTGTTCTTCCCAACATGTCCATTATTTTAATGTTTTAAAATCTGGATACCAAGGCAGCTTTCCCTTATAGAATCTTATAGCATTGTGCTCTTAAGCCCATCATAGTTTCCCTTTCTTGTCCATTCTTTTCTCATTGCAATTTCAAGGACTCTCATTAATATAATAGAATATGTCACTTCTCCCCATTCCGTTTCCTTTTTCTCTAATTTAGCAATTCTTATCATGCTTTTTCTTCTTATCTCCACTTCCACATTGAAGTATACTTAAATGACAAGATTTTTTAAATAATATTTTGGAAATACTATCAAAGCAAGATATAAGTGTAGTCAGACTTGCAAAAAGGAAGGACAAGAAAGAAAAACAAACACATGACTACCCATATACTCATACCCCATAACTGGAAAAGTAAGAGATACTATGATAGTAACAATATTTATCTCCATTCAACCTGGCATAGTTTACCATGGAAGTGGTGAGGAAGAAAAGGGGAAGGAATAAATATATAAACAATTTGGGGCCACAGGTAATTTAGTGAATGTGATTATACATTATTCAAATGGAAGGAGTATAATAGAAAGACATAAACACTTCTATTTCCATTTTTGTGAGGTGGTAGTTTGAATAATGGCCATACTTGTTTTTCTAAACACAAATTCTCAATGATCACCACTAAAATGTGGCTTTGGATAGAAACAACATGTGTTAGAGCATATAAAAAGACAGGGGCTTAGCCTCAGATGGGGACATTCCTAACACTCGTCAGACAATCTGCTCCGCCTTCTGGACACTCTACAGAATACCAAATGTCAGAAAGAATCCAGAAAATTGTCATCAGTCATTTATATACTTCTAATGCACTTGAATGTTCCCTGTCATATAGACAAATCATTGAGATGTCAAACTATTTTTTTTTTTTTTTTGGTTTCCACTTAAAAACTTTGTGTTACCTAGGTCTAGCCAGAATTAAATTAATTTTACCTCTTTCCCCCACTATTATAGGGATCATATTTCTGACAAAAACTTTATTATTACACAGCATAGTCTGGATAATATGATTAATCTGATATTTTGGTTAACTGGATTTTACTTCCAATACACACACCATATTGACTTGTTTCATTGTTTTTATTCATTTTTCTGTTCATATTGTATATCTCCCTTTTCACAGAATACTCCTTGAGAAAAAAGCCTATATTTAAGCATCCTCATAATCTTCAAAGTATTCTTAGTACCATGTCTTACATACATTCTACCTGATTAATGAATGCTTGCTGAGTGGACGAATCTATGATATCCTGATGACCAATATTCAGTGAGCTATATAACAAAGTAAAGACAGAAACTATGTCCAACATGAATGTGTTTTTCTTGATCAAACAGAAGACATTTTAGTCTTTTGACTTTAATATAGCTAAGGTCATCGTTACAAATGTTAAAGACTGCTGTTTAAAAGATGCTAGGTGATAAGATGGTTAGACCATGTCATACTGTTGGATAACACTCTTCCATGGTTACCCACTGCTCTTAAGACAAAAGTCAAATTCTATGCACATCTCACCATGGCTTAGTCCCTGCCCATCTCTCTACACCTGCAGCTTTGGTTCACACATTTTCCTTATTCTCTGTACTTCGGTCACATTTTTTCTGCTTTTTACATCCTCAGAGGTATAAAATTTTCTCTGCTACATGTCTATTGACAAGTTAAATCAGAAATTCTCCAACCCATCCTTCCACTTCCCTAACCAGTCAATGACTACTTCTTCTTTGTATCCTGTCTTCAAGGAGATCTTTTGAGACAGCTTTTACCCTAAGTATAAGTGAAATTTATTAGTTCCATGCCCTCATAACCCTCAGAACATGAATTTTGGTTCATAATTATGTGTTCATCAGCAAGATCACTGGAATCATGTCCAATTATCTCCATTAGACTCTAAGCAGTGCAGAAGCAGAGTTTTTACCTGATTTGTGCACCACCAGATCACCAGTGCCAGGCACAGAGCTTAGCAGAAAAAAAGTTGCTCAGTAAATATTTAGGAGTGAATAAATGAAGGGATGTGCAATTTTCCTTCTGACTACTTATACGCACACACATTTTTATTTGTGATATTTATACAAGTTTATATGAGAAACTGTGAATACTTAAGAATATTTTAAATAGCAGGTACTTATTAACTTAAACAGGAAAAACATTTGGAATTCTCATTATTCTAAACTCAAGCCCTTTGTGTCCTTAATCAAATATACTGTCCATGGTAACAGTAAAATCTGGCGATGGTATGGGATTTGTCATTGATTTTTGTCTGTGTGAAAATGACTTCATACCCCTGGTTGGAACATGACTAATATTTATCAATGAGAGCATTCAAAGCAACATCACCTCTTCTGAATTCAAAGAATCAGTGAAAATGTCAATTACTGCTAGATAGACAGGCAGACAAGAATGCATTCTTTGTCCTGCAAGACTTATGCTCCTGTTCCATTTTCTGAACAATCTAGTAAAATTCAATTTACTTTTTCAATTTGTCTCCAGCCAAGCTTCCTTCTGTCAGCTATGCAGACATTTCAATGCTAGCCACGTACAGTAATAGGAGAAGGACAAAGAGAATTAAATTACCTGTGCATTTGCGATCTGTGTCTTCTTTTTTTGAACCACTAATCGTCAACTTGCAGTTGAAGTTTTCTTCCCAGTATTCAGCAAACCATACATTTCTTCTGTTGTTTTCAAGTGTACGGGAAGTAAAGTAGGCATCAAACCCTAAACAGAGTTAAATAAAAGGTCAGTGCTTGTGAGGTAGTGCTGCCACATTTAGAAATAAAAATACCAGTGATGGTTTTTCTTTGTTTTAGTAGACTAGATTCTCCTTTGTACCATCCAAAAAAAAAAAAATCAAAATATATATTTTAAGAAAAATAAAATACATATTTTAATGCTACCCTATGACTAAAGTCCTAGTTAATTTTGTCAAGCAGTTACTATCATTATTCCTATTTGTGGATGAGAAAACAGAGACTTAGAAGAAATAAAAACATGCCTAATGTTAACCATTATGCTGCATTCTGCACCTCTGACCATGTCAACTACTGACCTGTGAATATATTTTTAAGAAACCTATTTCACTTAGTAATATTCCATTATGTAAATAACTTTCTTGTCAAATTGAAGTTAAAGTATTTAAAGAGGCTGTAGGTAAATAGAGCCCAACATAAAGCTTAATCTTATTTATAAATGGTGCCCAGATGAGCAGAGACCCAGGAAGCCAGATCTCCAGAAATCTTTTAGCTGTCTCTTTAAGATAGTACAAATCTAAAATTTTTAATGGAGCCATAAAATTTTATGAGAATCAGAGCGGAAAAAAGACTGGATCAGTATCCTAAGACTTAAACTTAAATCCCAGCTGTACTAATCTCACTCAGTCATGAAAACATAAGCAAGTACACATGTCACCTTTCCCATCTGTAACAAATGAAGATAACACCACCTCTTTCTACATAGCATCTTGTTTGTGGCAGTGGGAAGACTGGAAACTTATAGAGTTGAGTTCTATGATCAAGAAAATGAACTTCCTTTCAAGTTATTTAAATTATTCAAAGTGCTCCCTTACTTTTAAAGCCATAAATGATTTCATAATCATTATAATTACCAAAAAGTATTTTATATACTTTTTTATTAACCATCACATCAATCCTAGGAAGTAAGTACTACGCAGATCCATACTTAAGAGGTAGAAAACGAGCCAGGCTCAGTGGCTCAGCCTGTAATCCTGCGCCTTTGGGAGGCTGAGGTGAGTGGATTGCCTGAGCCCGTGGGTTCGAGACCCGCCTGGGCAGCGAGACCTCATCTCTACAATAAATAAAAAAATCAGCCGGGCGTGGTAGCGCATGCCTGTAATTCCGGCTATTCGGAAGGCTGAGGCGGAAGGATTGTCGGAGCCCAGCAGGTCGAGGCTGCGATGACCGGGAGCGGCCACTGCACTCTAGTCTGGGCGACAGAGTGAGACTCTAACTCAAAAAAAAAGAGGTAGAAATGAAGGCTTAGAGAAGAATTTGACCCAAGTCTACCTCATTGCATACCTGACTCCTGACTCATATACTATAGAGCAGGGTATCTCACATTTTGGTGGCTATCACAATCATCTGGAGAGCTGTTAAAGAACACAGAGACCAGGCTCATTGAAGTAGGTAGGATCTGGGTCTTTTTGTTTTTTTTCTCAAGTTCACTAGAGGATTCTATACCCACCAAAGTTTGAGAACTAGTGCTACGTAGTTCATCTGTGGCCCACTTGCCATGTCACTTCTCTTTCTCTACGCATCATGCTGTCATCAACCCACTGCATCAGTCATTTATTCCACAGGGCAACCTGTGTTTCAAAAGGTAAAACCGCAACATGATAATGTGGTGAAGTGTTGAAATGGGGAACTTCATCAAAATGGTAAAACATGATCTGACAAAGCTGGAGCAAAAGTCAGTTTTGAAAAGAGAGCTCCTGTCATATGATTTAATGAATTCTGATTCTTTGAGTTCAGAAGGGGTGACAGAGGTTAATTCTTGCTAACTTAACTGAGTCAGCATAACTGAGTCAGCATCAGGGCCTAACAATCTGTTTATTTTTCTTTACCAGAGCTAGGACAAAAAATAAATTAATTCTCACAATTTCCCTCTATTTCATTCATAAAGAATGAAGTTAGTGTTTCATAAAGTATAAAATTGTCCATGAACATATTCAAGTTTTTAAAGACTTTGTTGAAGTCATGTGTTTACAATGCCTTGGAATATCCTTGGCAGCTTGGTGGCAGCTTGGTGGGTTAGGCATACACCATAGCTCTTCTTTACTAATAGATATAGGGCTTCTGATACAGAGTGGTTCAAAGCTTTCCTTCTGGCTGAAATCACTGAGTCATCACTTTTGGTCTGTCACTATGTTTCTGCAGCCAAAGAATTCTACCTATCTTATTTTAGACTATTCAATGCCAGATGTACTCTCACCAAGGTGGAACAAAGAATCAGAAATAGAAGCAGAAATTATAATAGCTCTGATAATCTAATCTAATTTAGTGTGTATGGGTGTGTGTGTGTGTATGGGGTGGAATGTACATGTGTCATAGTGAACTGAGACTTTCTTCCCATCCCAGAAGAAAAGTGATCTGTACACACATCCCATTAATATTAGATAAATTGCCAGAGTTTTAAAATGTAACCCAAGACATTAAGACCAGGGTTTCAGTTCACAAGAAACAGAATCAGAATTATGTTGAAGGAGAAACATTATTCTTTAATATGAAGCAGAGAAATTCCTAGTCTGAAATTTTTCCTTTTGTTAGATAGAAGTTTAATTTCAAAAATTAATCTCCAGGTACTTCTAAAGCAAATGCCCCATTGGTTATATGTTGGGCAACACTACTATAATCTTGGAGTAAACTTAGAAGAACGTGGGAAAAATGAACAGGGCATTAGCTGGCATTATAACTACATTTATATGGTTCTTTCTTTCTTTTGTTTTCTTTTTTTAAAACTGGGATGCTGCCCTCAACCGCCCCCTGAAATTTGTGGTTGAGACAAGAGAGTGCAAATCAATAGAGACATAATTCATCCCAGCCAGCATGTTTGGGAGATGACCTTTCCAGCTGAGGGAGAAACAACAAAAAAAAGCCTTCACAAGTATGTAGTATGAAGAGAAAGCTATCAGAATGTCAAGAGAGGGTCAGAGGATACAGCTCTGCCAGGGTGACAGAAGCTGACAGATACTGATGGGGCTTCCTGTGGCATCAGAGAGTGACCAGGAACCCTGATGGTTTTCTTCTCAACACTAGGCATATATTGCAGATTAGAACATCACTGTTGGCCTAGGTAGTAGGGGGAACTCAAGGCTTTCATTTCAATAGCCTATAAAGGGAAGGTTTGCTTACAGCTCAGGAATAACAAGTTCATGATTCAGAAACACACAACTCCTGACAAGTGATGGAAATGGAATAGATAAATAAAGCAATGAAGAAAAAAAAGAAAAGAAAAGGCAGATAGGAGGGGGGAGAGAGAGAAAGGGAGAGTTAAAGAGAGAGAAAAGTAAAGAGAAAAGGGGAGAAAAGGAGCTGGAGGGGAGGAGAAAAGGAGCTGGGGGGGAGGGGAGAGAGGGAAGAGGAAGAGTGAGGCTTTGATGAGGGTGATTTCCTGCTGCTAGGAGTGCAAATCAGTATAACCACTTTGAAAAGCAGGTTAGCATTATGAATTAACATTGTTAATATGTATACTCTAAGGACTCAGTCATTCTACTACTAAGTACTTTCACTAGAGAAAGTTTTACACGTTGAATCAGGATATATTTTCAAGAATATTGTGGCAATGTCCACAAAAATTGAAATCTGAAACAACTCAAATGCCCATGAACTACACAGATATATATATTTCACAACAAAGCATGCATGAATCTCACAAAAATAAATGAGCAAACTGGAAACAAAAGAATGCATTCACTATCATTCATGTCATGTAAATTTTAAAACTGGGCAGAACTAAGTCACATTGTTTAATGAGGCTGATACAAGTGGTTGACTATATATATAAAAGCAATGGAACTATTATGCTAGAAATAGGGCATTCAGGAAAATAGGTTATTTCTGGTGATGTAAGAGAGGAGGGAGACATAACGGTGTCAGGAAGTCAATCTTGCTGCTAATGTTCATTACTAAGGTGGTGACTTTATAACTACATTTACACTAACTGTATTTGTTTTTATGCCCTTTCCTGTGTCTATGACATAACTCTTAGTAGTGGGTTGAATTATGGCCCATAAAAGGAAATGTCTATGCTTCAACTCCCTGACATGTAGATATGACCTCACTTAGAAAATATTTGGAAATGACAAAGTTTTAATCCTATAACTTTTAGATATGACCTTATTTGGAAAAATATTTGAATATTGTATAATATCAAGTTATATTGAAAATGTAATTAACTTAAAGATTTTTATATGGAATCGTCCTGGAGTATTCATGCGGGACCCACATCTAATGATAAGTCTTCTTATAGGACATACAAAAGAGAAATGCACAGGGAGGAGGAAGGAAGGGCATGTAAAGATGAAGGCAGAGACTGTGTTGCATCCACAAGCCCAGGAATGCCTGGAGTCACCAGAAATTGGAAGAAGCGAGAAAAACTCCTCCCCTAGAGCTTTCAGAGAGAGGTGACTTTGCTGGAACCTTGATTTTGGACTTCTGGCATCCAGAACTGTGAGGGGAAAAAAATTCTGTGGTTTTAAGCCACCAAGTGTGTGGTCATGCTTTCTTTCATGGCAGCCATAGGAAACTAACACATCCTAGTAAATGAAAAATCCTGTTGTAGCATACCTAGCTAACTTCTTTTTGGTCCAAATGATAACATTCTTCTCAGATGTCAAAAACTGATGGCTTATGGGACATATTTAACATATAGACTTGTCTTGTCCTTTCTGGTTTTAATATGAAATATTTCTTTAAATCTATTTAATGCCAGGAGAGTCTCCCTGAAAAGCTAGAACATTGGTAACATAGACCCCCATCCCTATGTGACAGCAATCAGTTGGTTCTCAATAATAGCTACTCCCTTTGTTTGGACCTGAGCTCTCCAGCTCACAGTATTTCTCCACCACCCTTAACTGCCTCCAACCTGGGCTTCTATTCTTAATTTTGAGATGTGTGTGACTGTCACGATAGACACAGAGCTTCCTACCACTGAGAAATGCATTTCTCTTAATACACATTTGCTGCACCTTAAGAAATCTATAA